TCACCTTTGCTTCCACCTTCGAGAATGGCAACGTGCAGCTCTGGGACATCCGGCGTCCCGACCGGTGTGAGAGGATGTTCACAGCCCACAATGGACCCGTCTTCTGCTGCGACTGGCACCCTGAGGATAGGTGTGGCATGGGGTGCAGGGGGCAGCAGGTTGACAGTAAGCTCGCACTGCCTCAGACTTGTGAGTCAGTCCGGAGCAGCAGAGCTAGGGGGTCCCCTCTCCACAGGAAAGGGCACTGAGGGTTTGGGTGGGCCTTCCCACAGGGGCTGGTTGGCCACAGGAGGGCGCGACAAGATGGTGAAGGTCTGGGACATGACCACACATCGTGCCAAGGAGATGCACTGTGTGCAGACCATCGCCTCAGTGGCCCGTGTCAAGTGGCGGCCTGAGTGCCGTCACCACCTGGCCACGTGCTCCATGATGGTGGACCACAACATCTACGTCTGGGATGTGCGCCGGCCCTTCGTGCCAGCTGCCATGTTTGAGGAGCACCGAGACGTCACTACGGGAATCGCCTGGCGCCACCCCCACGACCCCTCCTTCCTGCTGTCTGGCTCCAAGGACAGCTCACTGTGCCAGCACCTGTTCCGCGATGCCAGCCAGCCTGTCGAGCGTGCCAACCCCGAGGGCCTCTGCTATGGCCTCTTCGGGGACCTGGCCTTCGCCGCCAAGGAAAGCCTGGTGGCTGCCGAGTCGGGGCGCAAGCCCTACACTGGCGACCGGCGCCACCCCATCTTCTTTAAGCGCAAGCTGGACCCTGCCGAGCCCTTCGCAGGCCTGGCCTCCAGCGCCCTCAGTGTCTTTGAGACAGAGCCGGGTGGCGGCGGCATGCGCTGGTTTGTAGACACAGCTGAGCGTTACGCGCTGGCTGGCCGGCCACTGGCAGAGCTCTGTGACCACAATGCAAAGGTGGCTCGAGAGCTTGGCCGCAACCAGGTAGGTAGGTGTTGAGCCTGGGGGCCCCGGGGCCATGACCTCAGGGCAGGGGCTTGTTCCTCTGTCAGCTGTGCCCACTCCCCGACCTCAAGCTCCGCAATGGATTCCAGCCGGTCACACCAACAGCCCTTGCCCCGATCGCTCAGGGTGTCAGGATCACACAGGGCCAGGGCTCCAGGGTGGGCCAGACCCGGCACTGTCCTCTGTGGGGTGGTCTGGGGAGTCGTGTGACTCAAGCTTTCTGTTCTGCCCTCTTGCTTCTGGAGCTCTCCCTGCACCAGCAGTGGTGGAGCTGTGAGCTGCCGCTCCCATGCCCATCTCTGGCTGCCCCACAGGTCCCCACCACCCAGTTCTGTTTCCCTCTGTGCTGCTCTAGGGCAGTGCCTGAGATTTTTGTCTTTCCCATGAGCCTCAGCTTTCCTACTTGGGGTGGGCCTGGACATTGGGTACCTGGGGCAGCTGAATGCTGAGGGCTCGTGATTCTGTCCAGGCAGAGGGGGACCTGCATGGGGTGCTGGGTGTCCAGGACGCCCACAAGTGACCAGTGCCCGCCCCTAGGTGGCGCAAACGTGGACCATGCTGCGGATCATCTACTGCAGCCCTGGCCTGGTGCCCACTGCGAACCTCAACCACAGCGTGGGCAAGGGTGGCTCCTGTGGCCTGCCCCTCATGAACAGGTAGATGCCGGGGGCAGCTCTCCCCAGGGGCTGGGGCTGCTCGAGCCCCCCCACCCATGGGCCCTTCCTGCCCCCAGTTTCAATCTGAAGGATATGGCCCCAGGGTTGGGCAGTGAGGCGCGGCTGGACCGCAGCAAAGGAGACGCACGGAGCGACACAGTTCTGCTCGACTCCTCGGCCACACTCATCACCAACGAGGGTAGGCTGGGGGGCTGACGGGAGGGGGGTGGGGCTGTCCCAGAGGACCCTGAACGCCCACCCCATTGTCGGGCAGATAACGAGGAAACCGAGGGCAGCGACGTACCTGCCGACTACCTGCTGGGTGATGTGGAGGGTGAGGAGGACGAGCTGTACCTGCTGGATCCAGAACACGCGCACCGTGAGTGGGGGTCTGGGCAGGGTGGGGTTCAGAGGTGAATGGAGGACAGAGACTCAGAGCTTCTGCTGGTCCCTGCCTCCCAGCCGAGGAGCCTGAGTGCGTGCTGCCGCAGGAGGCCTTTCCACTGCGCCACGAGATCGTGGACACGCCTCCCGGGCCCGAGCACCTGCAGGACAAGGCCGACTCCCCGCACGTGAGCGGCAGCGAGGCGGATGTGGCCTCCCTGGCCCCCGTGGACTCCTCTTTCTCGCTCCTGTCTGTCTCACACGCACTTTACGACAGCCGCCTGCCACCTGACTTCTTCAGCGTGCTGGTGCGCGACATGCTGCATTTCTACGCTGAGCAGGGCGACGTGCAGATGGCTGTATCTGTGCTCATTATCCTGGGTGAACGGGTGCGCAAGGACATCGACGAGCAGACCCAGGTGTGTGGTGGGCGGGGCCTCCCCCCTCTGCAGCGCCGCCCCTGGCACCCAGATCCTGACCACCGGGCGCTCCCTCCCCCAGGAGCACTGGTACACTTCCTACATCGACCTACTGCAGCGCTTCCGCCTCTGGAACGTGTCCAACGAGGTGGTCAAGCTGAGCACTAGCCGCGCCGTCAGCTGCCTCAACCAGGCCTCCACCACCCTGCACGTCAACTGCAGCCACTGCAAGCGGCCCATGAGCAGCCGGGGCTGGGTCTGCGACAGGTGGGGCAGTGGGGTTGGGAGCTGGGGCAGGGGCCTGCAGGCAGCGCAGGAGCCCCCGCTCAGGCGCCCTCCCTCCTGCCCGCCCCCAGGTGCCACCGCTGCGCTAGCATGTGTGCCGTCTGCCACCACGTGGTCAAGGGTCTGTTCGTGTGGTGCCAGGGCTGCAGCCACGGCGGCCACCTGCAGCACATCATGAAATGGCTGGAAGGCAGCTCCCACTGTCCCGCGGGCTGCGGCCACCTCTGCGAGTACTCCTGACGGGGCATCTGCTGGGCTTGCCTGGGGCCCGGGGACCTGACTGCCCGGCCGACCGCGTGCAGAACTCCGCGTGGCCTTGTGCCCGAGACGGGCGGAGGCTGAGACCCCAATAAAGGAAGTGGAGCCGCTGTCAGCACTGCGTGTCACCCCATCGCGCGGCGGGTCCGCCGTATGCCCGCGGTGCTGCTGGCGGGCGGGGGCTTTCGGCGCTGTCGCCATGGTAACCGGCGGCGCCAATAGTCGCTCTCTGGCCGCCTTCCCCGCGTTCCCGTAGAGGCCTCTTCCGGGGCGGGCCAAAGGAGGTCACTTCCGGGGTCTGTCCCGGCTGCCGGCCGTTGCCACGACGACGAAGCTGCCGGCCAATGGCTGGCGGA